AATTACAACAATTGTTACACAAGTGTGTTCAGTTGATCAATTGATTAGTTGTAGGACAAATAATATAATTATTGATGTTTAATATACTACAATTACACATTTTCTATTGATCCTATTAAGTTAATTTTATACTATTTACTAATTTTTTAACTATTCTAGTGTAGATAAAAAGCATCAATATAAGAGGAAGAGCATTGGAACATCTTCATCCAATCTAGATGCTGGAGAAAATGTTGAGAGATTAACTAGTGCTAAAAAAAGAGGTACTGGAACACTTCAAAGTAGTAAGAGCAGCAGTGACCTATTAGGAGAAGAAAAAAGTGATGAAAATAGTGGCAAGTAATCTAGTGAGATGGAAAAAAGTAGTATGAATATATAGCAGTGACCTATTAGGTAAAGAAAAAAGTAATGAGAGCAGAAACAACAATTCAAGAAAAAAAGAAAAAGACGATGAGAGTGATGGAGATAAATTAAGTAAAGAGGAAAAGAGTAATGAAAGTGATGGAGATAAATCTGGTGGAGAAGAAAAAACTGATAACAGTGAAAGTGAGCAATCAGATGAAAAAGTAGAAGAAGGTATTGAATCCTTCCCAGATTATGTCAAAAACATTGTAAATGGTACGTATAAATTTAAGACTCACTTGAATATTTTTGGGTCTTATGATTCTAGAATCAATATGAGAGTCGATTTTGAAATTCAATTTGTAGAGTTTAGAAAGATTCTAATCGCACAAAATATTGAAAATGATTTTTAAAAATCTTGCTTTGGTCACTTTTTGAAGTTGGATAAAGATGTAGCAGTACAACTTCTAATGAAGTTAGTACATTGTCTTAAAATTCGTCGTATATTTTTTGAAAAAAAATAAGAGGTTTGGATTGATTATAATGGTTTGCCAATTTGTTTTGGGATTAATGAATTCACTATTATTACTGGACTTCGATGCCATTCTCTTCCTCCTCTAAGTCAGCAATTAGCGAAAATTGGAAAAGAAGGTGAAATGTTGGTTGATAAAGTGGGTAAATCTCCAAATGATGTTATACTCATAGAAAAAATGTGTGATCCAAGCTTAACGAAAAAGCAAAAGGTCGCTATTAGTATGGTTTGGTTTGTGCATTGTATATTGTGTTCATAAAGTGCAGTTAAGAAGATAAACATTGATTGACAAAAGATGACGTCGAAAAAAAGTATATTCGATTCATATCCATGGGATCGAGAAAGATTTGATCTTATCATTGAGTATCTTTTGAAAAAGCTAGACTCAACCAAATCTCAATACAATCTTCATGGATTTCCGTGGGCGTTCGCCGTAAGTAATTAATGGCTTTCCGTGGGCATTCTTCGTAAGTAATTAAATCAATGTTTTCATTTTATGATTTTTAGTGAAATTATTTTTTGACTTTATTATGTATATTTGGCTATTTTTAATATTATATTGTACGCTTGGGCATTTGAAGCTATTCCGTCAATTCAACGGTTTGTCAAGAATTCTTCATCTGAAAGAACAATTCCAAGAATAATTAAATGGATGGCTACAACACTCGCATACAAGATAAATGTTGATCCTATTTATCAGACAAAAGAAGAAGTAAGATTATATCTACATAAAATATCTACAATTGTATACATACAACTGAAGTTGTTATTGGACAACTGCACTTAATTATTTGACAATTGCATTTATCATTAGACAACTGAACTTGTTCTTCCCACAGCTACTTCAGTTGTCCAACAATTGTAGAAGTTGATCCCACAATTACATACAACTGAAGTTATTGTTTGACAATTGAATTAATTGTTTTTAACTACATATAATATTTAATTTTTTTAAATGCAAATGCACAATCAGGTTGTTCACCCTTTTCTTTTTTCCAACAAACATAGAGAAGAAATATTATTTTGTTCAAATTATTGAACCCTATGAAGATAGTTCTGATCCAAAAATTGATGTTTTAAAAGAGGAATTAGCACTTGTAAGAACTATGAAGCTAAATATAACTATTGGTGAGGAGGGTCTCGATATAACTGGTGGAGAAAATAGTGTTGAGAGGGACGGTGATGGTCAGATTGCTTTAGATATTTATAGATCTTTTGGTGAAGTATAAAAAGGTGACTCATATGAAGCTGATCTTGGTAGGGGAGAACATACTTCGGGTGTGATAAAAAACAACAAATGTGAATACCTCTAATGTTGAGTGTTGTTGTAAATGTGAGACATGTTGTGATAAGTATGAAATCCTTTTGAATGATGTAAGATCCTTATCAACAAAATTTGATGGACAGAAATCAAAGAGGACTATATATTCAAGCAATGCAAGAAAATGTCCTTACACTCCTGCGTTAAAAAGAATGTTTGCCAAGGTAAAAAATGCGAAGAAGAACAGGTTGGAAGTGGATTTGTACAAACCTCTTGATGTGGAGAAAAGAAAAGACTTTAATGTCTTCATTGGCAAGAAGGAAAAGGAAAGAAATATGTATTTGAGTGAAAAATTCAATCATCAAGTCTTGGTGAATATGATTGATCCATATTTTTTATTTGAGTGCAAGGTAAATCTTACTAATTTTAATTTATTTATTTATTTATTGTTATTTAATTGACTGTCAACTTTTTTTTGTAGCAAGTTGATGAGATCTTGTCTCTTATGCGTAAGAGACAGGTTTGGTTTTCCAGGCACTATAACCAAACAAATCTAATTTTGGATCTAAATTTCTACAACACCTTGTATGCTCAGTACAATAATTTGAGTGATAAGAGTTTAGTGAATGGTGCTCCACCAATGCATGAGGTGCTCATATTGTTTGAGATAGACAATGACATGCTAAATACTGTAAGGTTGAAAGGCCTTATCCATATGGCCAAAAGTGGAATGGAGCAAAAAGAATTTACACTCTGATGAACATAAAGAATACACACTTTATTGTACTTGATTTTTGATGGAGAAAGGCTTGATTCAAGTTTATGATTGCAATATCCATGTGTGTGATGAGCTGACATTTTTGACATTGATCCAATTCATTCTCATATTATGGCCCAAACTACTCAAGCAAAGCGGGATGTTCAATCATTTGTCTGAAAATTTGTTGAATGATGCATGGTCATATGAGCGTCTAAAGGATGTGCCAAGTAATAATTCTTGTGCGGCATATGGACCATATGCTTTGTGTTTTTATTGATCACTTGCTTGTTGGGATCGATATGAAATTCTTTAACGATAATGAGATGGATAATTTTAGGATGAAGTATGTTGTTGCGGTGCTTGAGAAGGAATTAACTCCTTGAGAGAGTAGTTGTGTATGAAGGTTAATTGCCTGTAAAACTCAATTTTTGTGTATTTGCTATCAACTACTTTAATTATCTATTTTTCTATTCAATTATTCATGTTCAGATATCTCTACAACTATTTAGTTGTTAGTACAACTGTTTAGTTGTTTGACGACTGCTTCAGTTGTTTGTGCAACTGTTTAGTCATTTGTACAGCTCCTTAAGTTGTTCCGTGCAACTGTTTAGTTGTTTGTTCAACTCCTTCAATTGTTATGTGCAACTGTTTAGTCGTTTGTAAAACTCTATCAGTTGTTCTGTGCAACTGTTAGTTGTCTGTACAACTGCTTCAGTTGTTCCTACAACTGTCTTAGTTGTTATTAAATTACTTAGTTTATATTTACTAATTCGATCTTTGGTTGTTATTAAACGACTAAGTTTATACTTAATAATTCACAAAATGACTAAATCTATCTTCGATTATATTTTTAAACGATTTAGTTTATACTTAATAATTCACAAAATGACTAGATCGATCTTCAGTTATTACTAAAAGACTTAGTTTATACTTAAAAGTTTCCAAAATGGCTTAATGGATCTTCAACTATTATTAAATGACTAAGTTTATATTTAATAATTCACAAAATGACTAGGTCGATCTTCAGTTACTATTAAACGACTTAGTTTATACTTAAAAGTTTACAAAATGACTAAATGGATCTTCAACTATTATTAAACAACTAAGTTTATACTTAATAATTCACAAAATGACTAAATCGATCTTCAGTTATTATTAAACAACTTAGTTTATACTTGAAAGTTTACAAAACAACTAAATGGATCTTCAACTATTATTAAACGAATAAGTGTATACTTAATAATTCACAAAATAACTAGTTCGATCTTCAGTTATTATTAAATGAGTTAGTTTATAATTAAAAGTTTACAAAATCACTAAATGAATCTTCAACTATTATTAAACGACTTGGTTTATACTTCATAATTCACAAAATAACTAGATTGATCTTCAGTTATTATTAAACGACTTAGTTTATACTTAAAAGTTTATAAAACAACTAAATGGATCTTCAGTTATTATTAAACGGCTTAGTTTATACTTAATAATTCACAAAATGACTAGATCAATCTTCAGTTAGTATTAAACGACTTAGTTTATACTTCAAAGTTTACAAAACGACTAAATGGATCTTCAACTATTATTAAACGACTTAGTTTATACTTAATAATTTACAAAATGACTAAATCGATCTTCGGTTAATATTAAACGACTTAATTTATACTTAATAATTCACAAAATGTCTAGATCGATCTTTAATTATTATTAAACGACTTCGTTTATACTTAATAATTTACAAAATGGCTAGATCTATCATCAATTATTATTAAATGACGTAGTTTATACTTAATAATTTACAAAATTACTAGATCAATCTTCAATTATTAATAAGACAACTATGCAAATTGTTAGACAACTATCCAATATCATTGTACAACTCTTCAATATCGTTGGACAACTAATGCAGTTGTTTGAAGGACTTGACCCTGCAACTGTTACAGTTGTCCAACAACATTAAAAGTTGTTGATAAAAAAATTAGAAGCTTTTGATAAAAAAATTAGAAATTGTTGAGATACAACTATATAAGTTGTTTGAACTAATAATTGTACCATTAAGAACGTGTTATAAATACGACAAAAAGTCATGAAACTACACCATTACATGTTTATGCAACTCCATTTGATCTGGTAGGACATGTGGTTTTTTTGTGGCCAAATCTTTTACATAAAGAACATTTGTTTCTCTTCTTTGAAACGACTTCTCCTATAGTAGGTACCCGTTTCATCCGCTTTCTTCCCGGTTTAGTTTTCTTTTCAGGTGGAGGTATTACTCTCCCTAGAATTTCCAGAGAAAGATTCCAAAATACTTCAGCTAGCACCGGATAAATTGAATCTGCATATGCAAGTATATACGACTCTACCTTACAATATGGAGAGGAAAAATTGTAAATCATCTTGTCATATTCATCTCCAAACTTATGCCTGAGCGCTGCCATAGCATGTTGACAAGGTATTTTGTCCAAATCAAACTCTCGACACGAACACATTTTGCTTTGAAGATGGACCATTGTGAGTTCATTGTCCGCGGTGACGCTGAAGGTATCTTCATCAGTTTGAAGAACCAATAACTTACTTTCCAGATTCTTGTTAGCCATTATTTTTATTTCAGCTGAAGGGACAAAAGTGATATTTAACTTGGCATATGCCATTCGTCTCTCATAAAATTTTTCGAACAATCTTTTACTTATATCATTAAACAGGGCAGTAATGGGAAATTCTCTTGACAGACTCCGCAATATTTGAAGTCAATACATCATACCTTAAATATAAAATTAAAAGATATCAAGAAACTAAAATACAAAGTATTGTTGATTTTAAATAACGATTTTTAGCTAACAAGAACTACTGCAGTTGCTGAAAGAACTACTACAGTTTCTAAAACAACTGTGAAATTTATTTCAACAACTATAAAATTATCCCAACAACTAAAATAATTGTTTCAACAACTACAATAATTTTTGGGGACCTGCAATATTTATGTTTGAACTAGTAAGAAAATTTACATGTTTCCTCGAAAATATGCTCTACTCCATTTGTGAAATCCAACATTTTCAAGATAATTCGTGACTTCCGCATTGATAATTATGATTTGTTCAAAATGATCATGGAACACATCTCTCCGATATGCTTTTGTTGCATGATCATAATGTCTAAGAAAATCTCCACAATGAAAATTTTTACGAGTATTCTCACCAAGATGCCTCGTGCAACATCCGTGGTGTGCTTCAGAGTAAAACTTTGATAACGCCTTTCCTATGCTTGGATGTCTATCAAAAATTATGATCAACTCTGAAGTATCAGGGACTATGTCTAACAGTTTCTCAAAAAAATAATCATATGCAACATCACACTCCTTATCTACTACACAAAATGCAACATGAAAGATATGATTTTATGTATCATGTGCGATAGCAGACAACAAAACTCCATCGTAACGACCTCTTAAAATTGTACCATCAACAGCTAAGACTTTTCTCATATGCACAAACCTTCTAATCCAAGCTCCATATGATACAAAAAAATATTTGAACCTTCCCTTGTCATCAAGCTTGAGCAATGTATTGCTTCCTTCATTTATAGTCATAAGCATATGACGATAACCTTCTAAAATTGCATATCCATGCTCCGGTGTCCCTCTTATCATAGCTTTTGCAATTTCACTGCCTTTTAAACACTTCTAGTAGCTAATCTTGCAGCCCAAATCTGCTTGAACAATAATTTGTATATTTTTTGTGGAGGGACCTTTTCCATTCAAGAAACTAGGTAGCATGTATTCTGCGACGACCTTTGTTAAGCATGTTGATGATGACTTGTAACATGTTGTGCTCCACATGAGTGAATGTTGCGGTTCAAATCTGTTACAACTTTGAAGTTTTGTTGCTCGCAACCACCAATCACAATTTTTATCTACACATCTAGCACAATACACATCTTTAGAACTCTTCACTGATTTGAGTCTTTGATCTTTCTTCACAGAAGCAAGCTTCAACAATTTAGTTAATTCTCGCTTGTTCTTGAAAGTTTTACCTTTATAAAAACTTTTGCCGTCATCATCCATGTGGCTGCCTTGTGTTGGTATAAAATGTTGAGAAGCCACTACAAAAAAAATATGTGTTTACCAACAGGCAAAATCTTTCGTTAATCTATGATATTCTGTCACTAAACATGATTAGCGACAGATTAGCGATGGATTGTTGACTATTGCTATTACGCTCGTTAATAATCACTTAGTGACGAAAAAATGAGTTTCGTTGCAAGTTTAACAACGTCTTAGTGACAAAAGATTTTCGTCGCCACTTGTTAGCGACCAATTGATTTGTGATTATATTTGTATAGTTTCGTTGCTAATTTCATAATTCATTTGGTCTTCCTGGATAAATTTGCAACGAAATATTGGTCATTAGTCCGTCATAACATAGTTTATCGCTAGTCTGTCACCAATATTCTTTTCATAGCAACAATCAAATAGTCGCTAAATTTGTTGCTAAAATTTTTTCTTCTAAAACTATTTGATTTATTTATTTTAAATATGCACTGCTGACATGAATTCAATATAAATTACTAAATACTTCATACAAATCAACATTAATATAATATAATACTCATAGACGTTTCAAAATATATGAAAAGCGAAATTCAAACCCCGCATTTTTGGTTCAAAGTATCCAAAGCAATTTATAAACTGTTCTTAAATGAACCTTTAGGTTCATCAAAAATTGTTACTACACAATTTGTAGTTTTCAAAAAAACATGACAATATCAAAAATTAAAATTGAGGGAGACTAAGGGATATCATCACTTGAAATTGAGGGATCAACCTCATCCACATTAGTAGTAGCAGGAGGCACTACGGGAGTAATACTTGCTTGCACCCTCTCAACAAGAATAGGAAGAAGATGATTAGTAAGTGCAGACATCATTTGCTTTACAAACTCATATATATTTGTTGTCGATGTTGCTTGAGAAAATGAAGGTGGTAATGATGATGAGCCACAAGAATTCTGCTTGTAGTAGTTTTTTGCTTTAGATCCAAGACCATGTACTCTTCTTTCCTTGTCTCCCCCCGCAGCTTGGTAATATGCTTCACATTGATCAATATCAGTTTGAGACACTGTTTTTTCCCTTAATATTTCTTCATATTTTTCCTATAGGAACAAAATAATTTTTAAAGGCAAAGGACATACAACTCCATGTATAAATTCTAGCATGATATTTACCCTGTGCTTTTCAATCCACAACTGCCATAGACAATTGAATTGACAATGTATAAATCTGAACCAAATTTTCCAAGAAATTTCAGCAACCACTCTTATATTGGGATTATCTTAAGTATCCATAGAAGTAAAGCTACTCTTACAAGATAACTCAAATAGTAGAACATCTTATATTATTGTTTATGGGTGTGAAATCATCAAGTTTCACATTTTCAGAATTTAAAAGCACTTGAAATCCCTAAACCATTCCACTGTTGAGATGTAACTGGACATTGTTGAGCACAATTCTTAGCATAAATGTCAAAATTGTCACATTTACCCACTAAAGGATCACGTGAAACAGACTACTCTAACAACTTAAACTATACATAACACTGATAAAAGGACTCCACCAATATACTATTCTAACCAGAAATCGCACATGCACTGCCTTTTACACATTCCTTAAGTACACAACTTCTCAAGGAAAAAATAATGTAAGAAAAAGCCTCAAAACAGCTCCAGGTACACACTAGAATCGCACCTAAACAACACTAAAATTGCACAAGAAAAGCCTCAAAACAGCACCCGAATTACATCCTTACTATGGTATATGTTCCTCTACTCATAAATCTCTTTATATGTTCTTCAAAAAAGCACCAGACTTACACCAAAATAGCAGCAACACTAGATTCCTAGACTATTTTTTGTTGTGCAAAGCTAGCAGATATATGTACTAAGACAGTAATGTTCATAACTTAAATTATGAGACCATAAACATGATCTTTAGTCAACTTCAATCATATATATGAAACCATTTCAAGTAATTTGGTGTGAATAATGCAATTCACAACAAACTAATGGTTAAGAAATCATGGTATACAAAATAATGCATCTGATAAAATATCATAAATAAGAATAGCAAATGACTAAATGATACCTTTCTGATTGTGTTAATTTTCATGTTCAGTGTGTCATAGGATCATGGCAAGCTATGGCAATGCAAGATGAAGGAAAGGCAAAAGCAAAATATGTTGGGATAAATATGCAGCTCAACACAGTAAGTTTCTTGATCTTATAGGACTCAACATAAGATGTGACTTTAGTGGCATATTGGACTTGAATTACACTAAAATAGCAGCAACAAATACGCTCTAAAACACGACTAGAAAAGAACCAAAAACAACTGAACTAGAGTCACATTAAAACAACACTAGAATCGTACTAAAACAACATTAAAATTGCAGCGGAAAAGCATCAAAACAACACCTGCATTATACCAAAACAGCAGCAACAAATACGCTCTAAAACACGACTAGAATTGCACCAAAAACAATTGCACTACTGTCACACTAAAACAACATTAGAATCGTACTAAAACAACACTAAAATTGCAGCAGAAAAGCATCAAAACAACACATGCATTATACCAAAATAGCAGCAACAAATACATTCTAAAACATGACTAGAAAAGCACCAAAAACAACTGCACTAGAGAATTCTCAAATTATCAAGGTATGTATATATATCAAGGTATGTATATATATACCCCTAACTTTGCTTTTGTTCCATATTAGTGTAACGATTCAACTTCTCTTATAATTGTATAAGTATATACTATTTACTACTTTATCAGTTTCTAATATCTACCATCACCTCCAATTAATAAAGAATTTAGTCTAACTATGGGACCTATCAAATCAGTCCATCTACCCTTATATGGTAAGAGAAAGGTGAATAAAATTTGAAAAAAAATATGTTTATAGCCAACTAAAGATTGAAGAGCAGGTACTATTATTTCAGATTGGTGTATTTCAGTTAAAATACCTGAAGTAGCAAAGCCTTGGGTCAAAATAGGAGCAGTGAAATAGAACATAAGAGAATTATCAAACTATCAAGGTATGTATATATATGCCCCTGACTTCGCTTTTACTCTTTATTAGTCTAACGATTCATATTCTCTAATAATTGTATAAGTATATACTATTTACTACATAATCAGTTTCTAATATCTACCACTATCTCCAATTAATAAAGAATTTAGTCTAACTATGAGACATATCAGATCAGTCCCTCTACCCTTATATTGTAAGAGAAAGGTGAATAAAATCTAAAAAAATATGTTTAAATCCAACTAACAGATAACATGTGAAGATCAAGGCTTACTTCGAGCGAATATCAACCAGATCCTGATGATAAGATTGTAGTAGTAGTTGACTGCAACATTTGAACATTATATTACCTTAGCTATTAACAAGAATAAGGAACAACAACAATAGAAAAAATAACCACCAAACACTTAATATTAATGAGTTTTTGTCAGGATGCATTTAACTTATCAGTAATCCCTTTGTAAGGATCACTATCTAACTGCCTGAATCCCATATTTCAATATACATTTTTGAAGCTTCATATAATCTATCATGAGTTTGCATAATTGCATTAAAGACTTCAGT